GGGTTTTTACTTCATTTACCAGTGTGACCACTACACTTTTGGATGATCAACAAGATATCAGTTCACCTTGCAATGTACAGTAAGTGTTACATTTATTCATTACTGTACTATATTATTTACTTTATTAGTACCTGTACCATTTGTACATTTAAAACAATATTTGTTTGCACAGTAATTACAAATAGAATATTCTATGTGGCAGCCAAGGCATGGTAACTGAGTATAGAGCTTGAAGATTTAGCATCCTTAAAGAGCTTCACAATAATAGGTCAGTTCTTGGGACATCGCACTTTTACGTTCCGCATAGCCACAGAAATGTCAGCACCACATATTCAGGAGGATGGGGCTCCTCAGGGCAGTGTCTTGAGTGTGACCTTATTTGCCATCACAATAAATGGGGTAGCAGCATCAGTTACAGGTGATGCATGCAACTTGCACTAAATAAGGTTTCACATTGGACCACAGAGCATGGCTTCAGATTTTCTCTCTTGAATACCATTGCCATGCATTTCAGCCACCTTCGAGGTGTTCACCCAGGTCCTGATCTACAGCTCTATGGTCGTCGTGTGCGGTGTTGTCAGAGAGACCTGTGTCCTGAGTATTATCAATAACCGGCTTAGGTGACAGCCACATATTCGTTACCTCAAACAGTCTTGCCAGAGTGCTCTCAAGTCATTGAGAGTCTTGAGGCACACAACATGGGGTGCTGACCGAGGAACTCTGCTACACCTTTACCACATGCGAGTAAGATCCAAACTGGATTATGGGTGTGTGGTGTACTCCTCACAATACATTGAACTCTATTCATCACGCTGGGGTGCACCTGGCGACCAGTGCCTTCAAGTCTTCTCCAATCCCGAGTCTGCTAATTGATGCACGTGAACAACCCCTTGATCTTCGAGGACAGTATCTCCAGGTCCAGTGTTGGTTTCGCCTCCACCGTCTTCCACAATCTGTAACCAACCCGTGTGTAGTTGATAAGACTATGTCCCCACACTACACTCAGCGTCCAGGCCTCCCATGACCTTTTGGTTTCTGGGTAAGGGAAGATGTGAGAATTCTTTGTTTTCCTCCTGTTCAGATATGCCCCATGCTGTTCCCTAGTGCTGCTCCGTGGATTCTCCCTGAAGGACCTACTCCTTCCCTGTGTTGTTCATTCTCTTTTATTAGAGCATGCCTCCTCTTACAGGGGGACTATTGCTGTATACACCGACGGCTGTAATTCAAATGCAAGGGTGGATTTTGGAGTGGTCTTTCCCGATTTCTGTCGGTGACAGTAGTCTCTCTGGTGCTGGGGGGAGGAGTAGGTAACGTGGGAGGGGACATCCCCTGTGTAGGAAGCTGGCCTTCTACACAAGCTCTGAGTTTCAATTATTAATGTTTAAATATTTTTTATGAAAGTTCTATGTTATTTATTGTGTTTTTACCTTGCATTATATTATTTTAGTCTTTTAAGCCTTAATTTTAATTCAGCGACATATGACCTAAGCTGTTGCCTCGCTAGGAATGTAATTACAACAATCAATAAATCAAATTTGGGTTGTGCAAGAGTTTCTGTTATTACAGAACGTTACCAGTACAGTGTAACATCTCTATGAGCGGAGGATTATGTGTGAGGTGGCCGAGTGCATCCTCCTGTGAGACGCCATCTGTAATTCAGTACAGGATACAGTACATGTTTACCTTATGGAAAGGTCATTTTTGGTTTACAGAAAATTCGGTTTATACACGAGTATATACGGTAGTCCCTTTACATTTAGTAATACTGTACATGTATTAAGTTATACAGTACTGTACATTGAAAAAGATTGGTTTTATACACAATGCAAAATGCACAAATAACAGTATTCCATTAGTTAAGAAGAAAATTCTGGCTACAGTGTCTATTTGGCAGCCTTTGTGGTTAATGTATCGTGTTAGTCCATCATTATCAATAAAAGGTTAGCCAGGTAAAGTTCCATACAATATACAGTACACACATCTCACATTATATTATTTATCAATAATAAACATGCAGTTTTCTTTCCATCACTTGCTTTATGTTAATATAATGGAGCAGGGAAGTTAAATAACACTTAACAATTGCCAGGGAAGCCACTCAAAATAGAAGTTTCACAAAAGAAGTTCACAAAAACTGATAAAGTTGCATTGTTACCATAATTTTTTAGTCATTAAACCAAGTGACTGACCTAGTAATCATATTTATTAGTAGAGCAGCTAGCCATGGTGCTCCATACAGGCTGTTCACTAAGGCTCAATATCCTCAGATAACTCCATTATGTCATTCAGGGTTAATCTTCTAATCCACTTTGGATATGCTGAATACCTTCTGGAGGCAGGCGGTCCTGTTACAACCATACCCTGACCACTGAGTAAACTGACATTTTGAATATGTTCCAGCTCACTGTTCACTGATTTAAGGAAGTTAGAAAGGTTTCCAAGCTTCATGACCACTGATTCCACCACAAAATTCGATTTCAGGATCAATCTTCCATTTCCAGCATTTGTACTTAAACCAGGTAGCTCTGGTCATCATAGGCCAGATGTAACAAGAGGGAGGAGGTGGTGCTACAAAAGCCCCAACTACTGGACTGACATACAGTACTGGTACATCCTTATGGGAATTACAGCTGCCAGCCAGGGCAAAAAAATCCACCCAAAATGTGACTCCAAAGAACCAATCCCAAGAGAAGGACTTGTTATCTAACTCCTTTCAGAGGGTAAAATATTATCCCTAGACACAGCATCAATATTAAGAAATTCAATAGTATGGTTAGAAGTAATATAGCATAGAGGTGCAGCAGTAGCAGCATAAGACTTCTGTGGAAATTTACCACAAGTATCCTTATATGTTAATAGCTGACATTTTGTCCATAAAAAATACTAATGTACCGGCACTCCCACATATGGACTGACTCGCCCTCATGTTGGAGGAAGAGAAAAAGGAGTCAAAAGTTATTTAAAATTTAACCTGGAGGTTCTAGAACTTTGGAGAGTATTTACCCATTAGCATTTCAGTTCTGCTTGTGGATTGAAATCCCAACCAAAGTCAGACAGTCATCTCGTGTATATATGTCGACTGGACCGGAAGACATTCTCTCTGTATTCCTCCACCACTTTAGACCTTAACAATGTCTCTATGGGAAAGGTATCAATGGATCTCTATAGTAAGCTCTCGGAACATAAACTTGACAAGAACTGGTTAATTCTAAACACCACCACCAGCCTCAAGAAAAGATTATGCAGTTGTAAGTACTGACATACCTGTCATCCTCTTACACTGTGTACTGTACAAGGATATTTCACTGATAGCAACAAAAACAGTTCATCACACACAGACCTGACCTTCTGAGGAGGAAGACCTTCCAAAACCTCCCATAATATCCGACTATAAACCCAGCCACTTAAGATTGTGATGAGGTGCAAAATTAGACTTTTCCTATTCACTAACAGTCCTAAAAAGTTTACTTGTGATTAATATATAAAACTGAAATGTAAATACAGTACTGTACTGTACTCAAGGTTCCCTAGGACTGTGAGACTAGAGCTGTAACATGTGGGTCTGCTTAACCTTGTGGAGGTCATCCAGTGAGTCTTTAAACATCAACCTGCTCATGGCTGTCTTGTGCTCCAAAGCTGCCTTCCCTCAGACACAACCTGCCTGGACCAAGTCATGGCTCTCACAATTGTACAAACCATAAAATGCATTGATTGAGGAACAGTAGTTGTGAAGACTGGTCACTATGCACCAGTGCTGAGGTCAACCACCTCTTGCTTACTAACCCAGACTCAGGAAGGTTGGTAACAAGTCCGTGAACTTTACAAGATGATAAATGTAAGACCTAATATTTGTCTTTCCTTGTACAATAAATCTCAGAACATTGGTGTTAAGACCTGCAGAGAGTTGATCTGTACCAACTGTCCTCTCTGATTGTTAATTAGGAACTAACAGACTTCAAAATGACAATTGACAGATTGGCTTTGGTATGCTGTGTAATAACTGGATAGGTTTGGCCCTAATAAGACCTGTTGCATCACTACCACCTTGTTTAAGGTGGTTGGTGCTATGGGGAGGTAGAGTTGATCAGTTCCAGTATATCTAAAACATATTAACAGATCAACCCTGACTGACATAATGGTGGGAGGAGGAATGAGTAACAACACAGAACTCCCCAGTTAGCTACTGTATATACCTGTATTATACAATTATAAAAGTCACCTGGCTGATGGACAAATGTTTAAACACACATACACAAAAACACTTACTAACTCATCTATACTCCAACCCTACAGACACATGCACAAAGAGAGGGAAGACATACTTGACTTATCTCTTTCTATTAATTTTGTAGCTTAATTCAAAATACTGTACTTTCCTCTAGTTTAATTATTTAGTATAATATATACAAATAATAATATATCACCTAACTGTTATAATCTAGATAACTCAACATGTAAACGTTATCATGATTACAATTTTGTCCTCAGTGCTGAAGGTCATTACAAGATTAAGCCAACACTAATAGCAACAAGACCCAAGTAACCTGTGTAGTATATAGTAATTTTTTAATCCCAATTGTTTATTAACCTATCACAATACCTCTAATATAAAACCTTTGATTATGTTCTACCCACGGATCTTAGCAGTACAGTACGCTGGTTGTTGAATGAGTTATACCGCCTTGTTGGTATATACACAGTAATAATCTTTTCTTTTTAATGTCATATATTTTTCCTATGGTGAAAACTATGGATGCCAAAACTGAGAAACTTGGTCAACTGGTCAAGTTTGTTTGTTCCTCTCCTTTATTTGTGGTCTTTTCTCTCAGTAACACAAAACATTCTTCTCTTTTAACATGACTGTTCTTGGCTATGGTCATCAAGCAGTTTAATTATAATACAGCTTAGAGGTTAGGTATTATTTGTTAAAAGCATTACTACCAGGAAGATGGAGATATGTACAGCTTATACTAGCACACAGGAAGTCCACCTTTACTCACAATCATTGAGGATCCAATGTCAAATTTCAGCTCCTGGTGGGTTGTACAACAAAGACATCTATAATATCAGGACCTGAACCCCACAGTCATATCACTATGTTAGTTTAATACCAGTAAATAACCCAAGAGTAATACACCCTCAAACACATTATAGATAGAACACATAAGTTTTATTAATGAACAAGTCATAGAATTTTCCTCTTGTTTTTGTAGATCACCAAATGTGCAATGTTCTGCCTATAATGTTTTTGGGGTTACTAAGACCGATCAGTCATGGACACCTTATATATTAAGACACCTTTCTGAAGTATCACTTATATTCATATACTGTAGATCGAAAAATCAAATATTTACATGACAAATTTTATGAGTATCTTGAGCATGTCAGTCTCATTTTGGATAACCAATACTTGCAGTCTGTACATAAAAACCAAACTGACAAACTGGTTTATTTTAAACTCTGAAATGTTATGCTGAAAGGATGAATACCAAGGAAATGTATCAGCATGTGAACATTGGAGAAATAATCAGATAAAATGATGAGAAATCACTGCATTTGTGTCTCCTGTGATGGTTGGCAAATATTGAAGACAAAACCATACTGAAACATGAAGTTATATAAAGTTAAACTGGCTTTAGTTATTTAAAATCTCTAGAAGGTTTTTGACTGTTAAGTTCAGACAGTTGGTTTGTACAGTGTTAGTACAGGAGGAAATCGGAATACCCAGAGGAAACCTGTGATGTTTGGTAAGGTCATAATGGATAACACCCTTTTCTCATGTGTCTGGGCCAAGCAGGACTTGAACCCATGACAAAGTTGTGAGAGTCACGTGCATTACTGCTGTACCACACCCCTATAGGTTAGCTGATTAATGACGACCTTTATCATTGAGAACAAAATGAGCCAACAAAGGTAGGATATAAAATCCAACTTTTGAAAAACTCAATAATTCCTAAGACTCTAAGTGATATTTGTTGTTAAAAAAAGTTGTCTAGAGTTTTGTTTGTGCTTTAATAAACACTACTGGAGGATTTTCTTTCAATATTAAGTCCTCAAGTATTATGATTGATCATTCAAATAACAGAATAACATTTCCCTTCTTAGACTAAGAAGATGTAATGCATATCCTACTTCTTGTTGATGCCTCCATTCATTTTAAGGAGCTACAGGTACTGTACAAAATAGTCATACAGTATAAATGTTTAATTTTAATCTCTGGAATAATAATACAGTTAATATTAAAATCTTAATACTGGCTATGAAACAATAGGTGTTGTAAGACTCACCTTCACCCACTTCATCACCTCACAAACAATAAGAAGTAAAGTGGTGATGAAGCCGATTCCAAATGTTGAACAGAAGAAGAAGAAGACGGCTGATGCCTCAGTCTGGAAGAATCCCTCCACCAGGTAGAAGAGAGGGAGGATGCTCAGTCTAGGGGAATACACAGTGTGTCCATAAATTGTCTGACCCATTTTAAAGCTTAAAAACTTCAAACAAGGTGCACATGTGGAAGCCTACTAAGACAAGAAAAAAATTTGTTTCTCATGTATATAAATAAACCTGTGTTCTATCTGTAGTAATTTTGAGGAAATTAAATTTTAAAATGGGACAAATAATTAATGGAACACCCTGTAGATTAATATTAACACAACACTAACTTAAATTGACTCTTCTTAGCAGTAGTTTCCTAAACCAAATTTTAATATTTCACTTAAGTGTCACAAGCAAAATCATTTCTATATTTGTTGGAGATTTTACTAGCTACTTCAACTAAAATATAAATTCACTGTACTGTATACTCCATAAGACACACATACTACTAATGCATTACTTCCCCATCAGTATTACACCAATCAAAGTAAAAATATTGATGAAATTTCAAAATCAAATGAAAATAAGTTGTAAGTGTTATATGGAAAGATTTGTTCTAAGGGTGAACTATTAATGCTATGTGTACTGTCAAAAGCACATTACTATTTTCAAGACATGCAAAACAAAACAGGAAATCATCAGTACAGAAGTCAAATATTTCAATATAGATAAACTAACACAAAAACTCTGAGCTGATTACCAAAAAATCACTAACAATTGATAAGTAAATAACACAAGGGAGAACAAGTAACTTACCCAAACAAGATAGCCAGAAGGGTGAAGGCGGCCAAGTTCTCTCTCCAGATGAACAATTGCTCGTTAAAGATCAAGAGTATGAAGGTCGTCAGCAGGACATTCATCAGCAGCAACTGTAATGATGATAAACCTATAACAACTGGTACTGTATCAGGTAACATTTACACACGAATGAAAAGAGTAGAATGTGAGTGAGGCTGTAGAGATATTTCTATTTGTTGTCTTAGTATATTCCCTAAGCTGTCCTCTTCTGTCTTGCATCACTCCTCATATCATATCTCCACCTTTTGAGGTTCCTACACCCCTTGGTCCACACCGTGCACAAGGTTGATAAAAGAGTTCTGTTTAGTGAATTTTAGTGAATATGACAATGTGAGAACTTCTAATAACACTTAAATAACAACAATGAGTTCCTGTACTATAATGTTTTGGCCTCGGTGTGTCTTATTCTGAAGACATATACAGTATGGTGTAGTACTTTAAGACAATATGGCACATCAGACTCACTGGGTTTCCACGTTTCACCAGGACCAACCCTGAATATCAATTAGTGTTTAGAAAGAATGTGTGGTTTTTCCTGGCACTCAGAGCAAGACAGTTAACTTCCACCTTAACAGCTTTATTTACTTATAAAATATCCCTTTAGATGCCCAACATAGTGTATTGCACTCAGATGCTTGACTGAGACTTTGATAGAGCTCTACATCTTTTGTTCCTACTTTGGTAATTTCTTTGCTTACCTCGGTCTCTTCATTATGTTTATTCTCTCATTTTTCTGATACATGAATTCTCTTTTTCCCCTCAACCTTTCCTTACCATAATATCCCACAGCATGTTGGCATTCCAGTACATGTGTCTGGTGATGCCGGCGACAAACAGGACTCTGCGTTCACCTCTCACTCTCTCAGCAACTATATAGCCGGCAGTGGCAGAACACACGACAGTCAGGGACACCAGGATCAACAGACCTATACCTATGTCTGCTGCTCGCTGCTCTCTGTTGAGTAAGGAAGAAATAGTGGGATCTTTTATTAACCCTTACACACACAATAAGTTTCTAAGTTTCCTTGACCACAACAAAAGTCACACAAGACCACTCAAGTGAGGTCTGGTGATTTTCGTTCTAAGGCCAATTTATACCACAAGAACTAGTTTCATTTTGCATGATTTATTCATCACTGGTTTTATTATTGTTTTGGTTTTAACATAAGCAGAAAAAAGACAAGATCAAATATATGGTTCATAGGAATTACAGATTTAAATAAGTTTTGATAATTTCTAAGATTACCCATTTCTTATAAAAAACTATGCTGGCCAGATTACTAACACTAAAAAAGAAATACCGAGATAATTTTTTCACAAACCAAGTCCACTTTACAATTCATTAATATATTATACAGTTTTATGCCTGTATTATATTATATAACCATATGTACTGTTCTCAATATAATCATACTTACAATGACATACTTCCAAGGCCATAAGCAGAGAACAAGATTGGCTTATTAACTACGGTGATGGAGTAATCTTCCCCAAGAAGCCTCTGCAGCCTCGCATTATTGAGCATGTTGAGGTAGGCCGGCAGTGCATGGTAGCCAGAGTTGTCGTACCACACCATCGCACCTGACAAGTTACTGTTCAAGCGAGGATCCTCCACGCCCAGGGTGACTCCTCCGTATCTGTTGTGGGATATAACAAGAAAAACTAAAACTTGTTCTTTACATAATGGAAAAATACAATAGTTTCCTTTATCCTCTTTGCCACTGATCAACCTATCAGCTGCTTGGATTGTCGGTTATGTCTCTGTTATGCATTGGTGGCAAGTACTGTACTGGGAATATATTGGCTCTAGAATGTATCTGTACCTGCTCCAGTGTTGGTCAAGTCTGGTCTTGAAAGAGTTCACACTCGGTGCTGACACAACACTCTCTGGCAGATTGTTATAAGAGTTCACAATTCTCACTCCAAAAAAATTTGCCATGATAATTTTCTGAATTTGTTGCTTCTTCAACCCTAAGTTGTGACCTCTAATGGGGCAGGCATCTGTCAGCTCCAAGTATGAACACTCGACTGAGTAATGTCCTCCGAGGCGTTTATAAACTTCTATTAAGTCAACCCTTGCCTGCCTATAGTATAACCTAAACAATTGCAGGTGTTTTAATCTCTCTGGATAACTGAGGTGCCATTGTGTAGGCATCAGTCTGGTGGCTCTCCTTTCGACGTTTTCAATCAATTGACAATCTCTGGTATATCTCAGGGACCAGATGAGGTGACAGTACTCCAGACTTGGAAGCACCTCTCTCTTGAAGAGCGTTACGAGAGACAGACCGTCTAGATATCTGAATGACCTTCTCACAAGACCTACTACGTACAGTAGTTTAGTTGCTGGATTCACCTTCTTACCTGGGGCGTCATTTCAGATTTTGCTTGGGGGGGTGGGGGGGGGGCTACACCATTACATGCAAAGAGTAGGGGTCAAAATCCTGCTCCGTAGTATTTGGCATTGACCTTGCAAACCTTTGATGTGGTGACTGCATAATTAACTACAGTACTAAATTGTCATTAAATAGAGTACGTATAGTAAAATGGCTGTGATAAATAAATTCAATGTAGTTTTTTAATTTTATAAAGAAAATAATAACAGCACCAGCAATGCAAACTTTTCTTTACCAACATCTGGAGTACAACTCTTGAATTATTTACTACATAATTGTATCAACTAATATATTGATGAAACTAAATAGTGAAAAAATCATCAGTGAACAAATCAGAATATTCATAATAGGATACATCTTTGACATACTCAGTCTACAGCTCGTGGCTATTAACTGTTCTTACATCAGAGGGTAATGGCGATGCTTCAGTCGAGCAAAATAATAAGCCAGTTCTTCCGTATCGAATGATTTAACCATTTTCTGTTCATTAGCCATTAAAAGAAGGTTGGAAAGGCGGTCATCACTCATTGTTGTTCTCGGGTAATCTTTGACGCGTTTTAGCACTGAAAAAATCTTTCATTGTCCGCAGTGGTAACCAGAATGGCCAATAGTATGTGTAACAAATTGAGTACCTCAGAGAAAAGCAATCGGTAAGGCATCTAGATTCTGGTACACATCAAATAGGTCCTCAGGCTTCTTCTGATCTAAGAACACCTTCGCAGAATGTAGTTGTGAAGATAACATAACCAAATCAATGTGCACTCTGTAATGTTTAGAAAACAAAGCGAGCTTTTCTTCATCAAGGAAATGTTTAGATTGAACATCAAAAGAGGAGATGGGCTGCAGAAGATCAATGTTATTGCTAAACCTCCGATCATATTCAGCTGTGCACCTGTCAATTACTGAGAAGTACAACTGTGACTTCATTTGGTCTTTTAAGCTGCTTCTCCGAACATTCTCTAGATGTTTTGAACGCTTCTCAAGGATGCTGTTTGACAGAAAATCTATCAAAGTATTTGATATTTGTTGCACTCTTTTGTTACGAGCTGATCCTTCATGCTGTTGAGCGTTTGCCTCTGGAACAGCTATGCTGAGTTTGGTTGCAACCTCCTCTGCTTCCTCATACTGTTGATCTTATTCACTATCAAATTTCATTTTAACAAGGTTTGCTTTCGTGGCTGTAATGAGATCCACAGCTCGAACTATAGATATACCCCCTTTTTGAAGCTGCTCCGACAGAGAATTTGCTTGCAAGAACAGTTTTTCAGAAATAAAAAGGCAAACTACAAAACTCCAGGACTCCATTTTTTATTTCAGTTTAGGGACTTCCATAGATGCCTCATTACTGTACTCAGATAGAGAAGTTAGTACGGTTAGAATGGCTTCATAACGAAGGTGAATTCTACGAATACAGTGGTCCCTCGGTTAACGATTTACCTTCCATAAGATTCTTAACTTCGGTTAACGAGCAATCCCTCGATTAACGAGTTTTTTACGAGCCGACTTCAACATGTTTTCGCTTGCAGTTGGCGGCCTACCAGCTGTAGTATTAGTCCGCCAATACAGTAATCGGTTTTAGGGCTTAAATTCCTTACTATTTTAGTAAATATCAATAAGTTTATACTATTCAATAATTTTAAAAGTTTAATATTAACTTTTTTTGTCATTTTAAGAATTATTGAACATAATTGAAGGTAAAGAAACTAGTTTCTGGCGTGCCATCCAGCCTGTTAACACACCAGACAGGCGTTAGTCTCTCTCTGTTTTCAGTGGAGCTAACATCTTGCTTGAGAGACTCTTCAACTAAACGCTTTTTTTCTGTGTTTTCAAGCAAATTATTGGTCATTTTGAAATATATTTTACATATTGACAATATATAATGCAGTGCAGTGTTGATTTAAAGAAAATAATCTTGAAATACACCGAGAGAACTAAAATTTTATGGGTGAAATGGTGCCATGGGGTGACTTCTCTTCCACCCCAATGCCTTCTCTTCTTCCTTCTCCTCCACCCCCATTCTAATTCCCATCATCATCATCATCATCATCCAGGAGCCTTCTATATACACACCTCAAAGTAAGTGCACTTTTCTACCTTTTTTGTTGAATTTAGGCAATTTTCGGTGAGCTGGAACCAATTACCCAAAAACCCATTGAAACAATGGTTTCGGTTAACGAGTTTTTCGGTTAACGAGCAACCTGCTGGAACGGATTGTGCTCGTTAACCGAGGGACCACTGTACATCTGTACCAATAGAACCATCTTGTTGTCATAGTTCTTTCTAGCTCCATTACCTCCTGTCCGAGCTCTTTTGTGATTGAATATAAAGGTCATGACTTGTAATTTCTATTAGAGATGAAGTTGTACAATGTTTGGATAGTTGAAAAGAACTCCACATAATGCTGAAGGTCATTGATACAGTGGATAATCACCAGGTTGAGTCTGTGTGCATAACAATGAATATACATGGCGTGGGGGATTTTTTCTCTGATACGGGCTTGAACACCAGACGCCCATCCACTCATAATGCTCGAGCCATAGTAACAGTGCCCAATACATGCCGTCAGCTCTCACCTCAACTCCTCTACCTTCTTCATAATGAAGTTAGCTAGAGACTCTGCATCTAAATTTCACATGTGATATGTGCCACAACATCGCTCCTGAATCCCTTCACCATCAAAAGATCTGATAATTATGCTTAACAGTTATTTTCGTGATTGATCTTTTGTCTCATTCACGAATATCGAGAAATATTTTGCCATTCCTTTGACCACTCTTGAAGCTGGCAGAGACCTTTCTGTAGCTCTTCACAGTCCGTTTGGTTCTTTATTTCCTCAAATAACTTGGCATCGTCTGCTAACATTTATATGAATATGTGTACAACTTCTGGCATGTCGTTTATGAAACAAACAAACAAAGGGTCCAACTACACTGTCCCTTTGGTACCCTGTTTGTCTCAGGTATGCATGAAGACTGCCTGCCATTCATCAATACACATGGCTAGCAGTCATGAAGAAAATTTCCGATCCATGCTAGGACACTCCCTCAAATCCTGTACCCTTCCAGTTTAATTCTCAGCCTTTCATGGGGTACGCTGTTGAAAGCCTTGGCAAAGTCCAGATATATACAGTGATATCCCTGTTAATTGGAACAAATGCTGTAGAGCACTTCCGGGAATGAGAGAATTCTGGGTAACGAGACGATTCTCTCAAAGCCAGAAAATATACCTCATCCCCAGAATTTTTTGGAATTTTCCAGATAACGGAAAATTTCTCGGAATTTCCAGAAAATGTGCCTGATTTTCATTTCTCAAACCCAGAAAAAACTCCCCCATCCCCGAAATTTTCCAGGTACTGGGAAAATGTTCTCGGAATTTTCAGGAAAATTGATCCCAAAGCCCTAATTTTCCGTAAAATTCTGACTTTTGGAACGATTTTCCGAGAAAATTTCAATTCCGGCTATCAGAGTGCTCCGGGTTTGAGGAATTCCGGCTAACGGAGATAGTAATGTATTGTTGATATTGCCATCATGCTCCAGGACCTGGCTCCACACATTCAGAACCTTAATTACCCGGTAATTGAGTTAAGCAGGAGCGTCGTGGCAGTAAACCTTGTTGGCAGGCCTTTACAAGGTTGTTACGTTCAATCATGGCATCTCATATAATGGTCTTTAGTACTTTACACACTATACTTGCCAAGCTCAGCCAACTGATACTGCAATTATTTGTGGAGTGGCTATCACCCTGTTTGAATATAGGACTCACATATGCCTTCTTCCACTCACAGGATATTTTGCTTGACCATGCATCTACAGAACAGGATTTTAAGGGGCTCAGCAAGTTCATTGCATAACTCTCTAAGCACTCCGGAATGCACACAGTTAGGGTCAGGGCTCTTATGATGCTTTATCTTTGACAGTTTGCTCTTAATACTGTACACTCTTCTGAGTACAAAGTATGTCAGTGCTGTGTTTAACTGTCTTTCCTCAAATGCAGGAAGACTGTTCACATTCTTTCTTGTGAATACTGAGGAAACGAATTTATTAATGCCTCCGTTTTGTCCTGAATGCCTCCATTTGGTCCTGAATGCCTCCACTTTGTTCTATTCTGAGTCTGCATAACAATCATCTTCAAGTTTCTGATCTGATAAACCCACACGTGTCTTTAATTTCGACTTTGCCTCATGGTAGAAAACCTTAGGGTTTGAGTTGACCTCGCATGCAATCTGCCCCTGGAACTGTTTTTCAGCCCTTCAACACTCTGACTTTGCTTGGTTCCTGGATCTGGCATACATCCTTCTGTCCTGCTCATCATTGTATTCCTGGAGCCAGTGGGTTTGGTCTTGGGAATATATTTATCAATCAAATAGTTCACTTTACTAACTACAGTATAATATTTCCAGATCTTAATTAATACAGTAACTACCATAAGAAACAAAATGAGCCAGAATTTTATACATTGGTTGTCCTGTACTGTACTTGCAAGCACGAGTCAATATTTTGTTTAATATATCGTATTTACTAACTGTTTGGCTGGTTGGTTTGTTCTCCATTACAACCTTCAGTGTCAAGTCTTATTAGAATTTCTTTAGTATCTATACCAGGGATGGGTAATTATTTTGGTTCATGGGCAACACTACCATTTTAGGTATGCACTTTCGGTCACATTACCATCTTAGGTAAGCACTTTGGGACACATTACCATCTTAGGCAAGCATTGTGGCCCACTTCACCATCTTTGGTAAGCCTAGTGGGCCACATCACCATCTTAAGTAAGCTTTGAGGACCCCAGTTTATTTCACCTGATGATGAAACACACCTCATGCTACCTGGGAGATTAGTTTAGGTTAAGTTTAGTTCGGCTCGTGTTAGGGTGTTTATATGTGCAATATGATGGGGGAGCTAATCTTCATATGATATTTGTTTCCTAACATATTGGTCAGGAGAACAAGGAAACCAATTCACCTGCTTTGGATGTGTTGCTGTCTTGTCCCCAGCAACCAGTCATTAAGGCTCGGCTGGTCTGCTACTTCCACCGCACACCGCTCACCGTCACACTTACACAGTGATGTAATATTCTGGTAAAGGAAATGTATAATAATTGTAAAGATTTTATGAGTGGTATTATTATTATCATTATTAAACACCACTAGCTCCACTAGGTCTTTTAGGAGTTGGACATTTTTCTTTTACTAATTCTTACTGTAAAATATTTAAGTGGGTTCCATAGGCCTGACAGCCAATCAAAAAAAGTAATAACTATTGTTTCTCCAATCAACCATTTTAATAATTTTCTCACCGAGGCAGAAACATTACAGTGCGGGAGTCCTGGATTATAATCAGCAACATGACTGGGACAGGTAGACCAGTTCTCTGCCGAGCCCTTCTGCCTAACAGACAAACGCAGGAACTCGTCTGACAGTGGTTGTAAAGTTGGGTCCAATGTCCTAAGGTCAGGTGGAAATAAAGGAATTAGAAAACAGTAAAACAGTTTATACAGTCATCTACAACCATTCACCAGTTACTCATACATGTTTTGGTCAATAATGAACTAGACTTCATAATAGTGAGCAAATACAAATACTTCCCCAACTAGAAGTATAGGTTCTCTACCTTTGACTGTGAGCTGTTACTGTGACCTCTGACACATACTTCAGAGTGGTGTTGTGTGATCATCCTCCCACAACACTGACTCACCTGGTGAATGTAGTGGTGGGTGCACTGTACATGTCAGGGGTGAGTTTGAGGGCAACAGGGTTCACATATACAGGGCGGCATTTTGATCCAATTAGAGCCAAGATAATAAACAGTTGTGGCAAAAGAAGCATCTGGAAAAGATAAAAGAAGTTACTGAAGCCTAATTATTTAAAATTCTTAAGTGTTTCTTTTACCTCTTGTCTCTGCACCTTTAATATGATTTGTCCACTTCATACATTTAAAAAAACTTTATTTTCTACATTGTTTAATCATAAGCATGAATTATATACTCATAACAAAATCTTACATAATAATTAGCTAAATGGGTAGCATAGTTATATAAACAAACTATCTATCTGAGAACTAAATTGCATAAGACCTGTAGGAGATATCCGCATGTTTTACTGTGTACTGTATATGAGACAATTGTCAGCATCATACTGGCCTCAAAATATATATGAGTGAAAATTATTATACATCTTGCAACCCCGATAATGACCCACTCGCCCACTCCCTGCGGCTCCACAACTGAATCAGCAATACTAAGGATTTGGGAGCAAAGTACAATACAACTGACACTAATTAAAATGGGCGGAGAACTGTGATGGTGAAGATACTGGAGGTAAAGTAACAAAGTTGTACTGTACAGCAACTCTAGAGTAAAATAATTAGTAAACTGAGACATTTAAATTAAATTTACCCAAAAGATAAAATTCTCTATTGTAAAAAATTGTAAAAAAAAAAAAAATATCAAGACAGATTTTATACTTATCAAAACCCCGAAGAGTGATCGTCCACACAAGAGACACGACTAACACACCTGCACATAAAAGCGCCAATCTCTGCCGTGGTGTAAGAGTCGCTTCAACAGCAGTGCAAAGAACCTCTGTACTCCCAACTGCACACCTTCCTGTGTCTGCTGTGGCTTGAAGTTGAAAGTGTTCTTCAAGTTTTCTTCTTCTGGAAAAATGGAAATAATGAGATCAGCGAGTGTTCATCTTAGTCAATATAAGAAGCAATAATTGGATGGTTTACTATTAAAACAACACTAAAAGGAAACTGTCTGGCCAAATCATTACTGATAATGTTCTGGCTGTTCCAACAACCCTCAACTATAACTTACTCTCCAGCTGTGGTGTAGGTGTTACTTTGGTCTTGGTAAGGCTGTGAGAGTCGATTGAGTTGATGGTATTGAGAGCAATGACAACGTCCTCTAAACTTGTAGGACGGATCTCCAGTGAGGCAAACCCAAGCTCCTCAAGACTCTTCTCCAGTTCACCAAACATATCCGACAATCTGGAAAAGTATAACAATTTACTTGTTATACACAGTACAGTACTGTAAAAGGTATTGTTTTAAATAATGTGTGATATGGTATAAATAATTACTGGATATTTTAATTGGCTTACTGTTTCCCATTGCT